TTTTTTAAAAAAAAAAAAAAAAAAAAAAAAAAAAAAAAAAAAAAACTTACAAACTAGTTTTTCGATTTTTCAAAAATTTAATCCGATCCAATATTTATTGTTTGGATTGGTCGAGTTATCGGGTCATAGGAATAACTCTACTAAAATTTCTACTATTTGGATCAATCCATTACGATCGAAAAATTCAACTCAACCCAATATTTACTGTTTGGGTTGGGCAGTTTGGATTGTTCATATTATCGGGTCATATGAATTTCTAGTTTTTGGATTAATCGATAACAATTTAAAAAAAACACAAATCTTTAATCACTGTAATAAACTTGATTAACACGTAACTTTAAACAAAAATTTTACTACCTTAGGATTCGACAATGACACGATATAGCTACAATCAAACTGTAACCTAAACGACGAAACACGATTGACCGTCGACACAACGAAAAGATAAAAACAAAAACAAAAACTTTCCCATCTAAATTAACTCGTAAAAAATCACGAAAACGCCATATTCATTTATCAAAATCTAGGGTTTTTTTTGTTAGCATCATTTTCAAAAAAATTCCATTGAAATAACTTGTGGGTCTCAAGAACAAGATGGGTGTGTTTATTATTATGTGTTTATATGTCTTTTTTCCCTTCTTTCTCTTCCTCCTTCACGTGCAATATTCTGTAGATTTGTTCATCAAAACCCTTTAAAAACCCCATTTTTCTCATCATTTTCCATCTTTTTCAAATGGGTTTCACTTAAAATTAGTGATTTTGATCCAAAATCAAGAGAAAAATGGCATTAGAAGCTGTTGTTTTCTCTCAAGATCTTTACTCCTTGTTTGCTGGAGGCCTCAGCTTTGAATATCCTCAAATCCCTCATGATTTTCCCGAGAAACAAACAGAAAATCCGCCATTGGAGCTCGAATCAAGAACACCAAACCCAGTTAAGCCAAGAAAACGACGACCCAAATCCCGCAAGAACAAACAAGAAATCGAGAATCAAAGAATGACCCACATCGCTGTTGAACGAAATCGAAGAAAACAGATGAATGAATATCTCTCTGTTCTTCGTTCTTTAATGCCAGATTCATATATTCAAAGAGTATCTCTCATTTTCCTTCATTTTCTTTCATTTTCCTTCTATCCAAACAGATTTCGAAATGGGTTCTTGTTGTTTCAGGGAGATCAAGCTTCAATCGTTGGTGGAGCTATAAATTTCGTTAAGGAATTAGAACAACAAGTTCAGTTTCTCTCAACAGATTCAAGTTCTTGTTCTTCTTGTTCTTCTTCTTGTTCTTCATCTTCTCAAACTCAGAGCTCCTCCATTGCTGATATTGAAGTAACAATGGTGGAAAATCATGCAAATTTGAAAATCAGATCAAAAAAACGACCAAAACAGGTCTTGAAAATTGTAGCTGGATTGCAAGCTCTGTTCCTCTCTGTTCTTCATCTCAATATCTCAACGATGAACCAAGTTGTTCATTACTGTCTCAGTGTTAAGGTTAGCTTATCATACCATTGCAAGATTCTTGTCTTAAATTTAGTCATATTAATAGAATTCTCAAATATCGAATAAAGAAGTCGTGAGCCTCGAAAGAGTGTACTTTATTCGAGGACTCTAGAGGAGTCGAGCCTCGATTAATGGGAGGCAGTTCGAGGGCTTTAGAGGTCTCAGGGGAGGCTAGTGAACTTTATTCGAGGGGAGGATGACCGAAGATTGTCCACATTGGCTAATTTAGGGAATGATCATGAGTTTAGAAGTAAGAAATACGACATGAGGTCTTTTGGGAAAGCTCAAATATGCTCAAAGTGAACAATATCATACCATTGTGAAGATTCGTGTTTACTAACATGGTATCAAAGTCATGCCCTTAACTTAGTTATGTTAATAGAATTCTCAAATGTCGAACAAATAAGTGGTGAGCCTCGAAAGATAGTTAAAAATGACTCAAGTATCGGACAAAGAGTGTACTTTGTTCGAGGATTCTAGAGAAGGAGTTAAGCCTCGATTAATAGGAGACTGTTCGAGAACTTCATAGGCCTCAGGTGAAGCTCTATAGTGTACTTTATTTGAGGGCCCTTAACTTAGCTATGTCAATAAAATCCTCAAATATCGAACAAAGAAGTCATGAGCCTCGAAAGATAGTCAAAAGTGACTCAAGTATAAGACAAATGGAGTACTTTGTTCGATGACTCTAGCGAAGGAATCGAGTCTCGATTAAGGGGAGGTTATACGAGGGTTCCATAGGCTTCAGGGGAAGCCATGAGAGCTTACGTTTAAAGGGGAGAATATCATACTATTGTGGAGATTCGTGATTCCTTACCTCGTAAAGATTCATTTTTTTAATGGTTTTTTTGGTTAAAAAAACGCTTGGATTTGTTGTTTGTAGGTTGAAGACGACTGCAAGCTGAGCTCTGTTGATGAAATTGCTTGTGCTCTACATCAGTTGCTTAGTAGAATCGAAGTGGAATCTGTTATGAACTGATAATTTGTGAAATTTGGTGTTGTTTTTGGATTAACTTTGTGTTCTAAGCTCAGTTCTTTCAATTTTTATGTTTAATTTCTGAAGAATTTGTAAATTTAATCAGTGGGTTTGTTCTACGATGTTCTTGGAAGAAGGACAAAAAGCAGTTTTCTCTGCAAATCTCCATGAAAAAAGGAGTTTGAATTGAAATTTGAAGGTCTGATTCAAATCTGAAAAACACTTTTTGGTTAAATGCTTCCGGTCTAGAATCAATTTGATCTGTTCGTTTTGGCTTGTTATGTATCGTCGAAAATCTCACGATTTTAAAATGTGTCTACTGTAGAGAGGGTCTAGCCCTACTCCGATCAGTGTGTCGCAGTGATTGGCTCTGATTCCATTTGTAACCGTATAAGTCCACCACTAGTAGATATTATCTGTTTTGGCTTGTTACATACCATTGGTGACTGGAGACTGACTTTGATACCATTTGTAACAGCTCAAGTCCACCACTAGTAGATATTATCCGCTTTGACTTGTTATGTACCATCGGTGACTGGAGGCTGACTCTAATACCATTTGTAACTGCTCAATCTCACTGTTAGTATATATTGTCTGCTTAGCTCGTTACGTATTACCATCATTCTCATGATTTTTAAAACGCGTACATTATGGAGAGGGTCTAACTCTACTCGGATTAGTGTCTCGCACTGTTTAGTGACTAACTTTGATACCATTTGTAACATTCCAAACCCCCTTCTAGTAGATATTGTTCATTTGACTTGTTACGTACCATCAATGACTGAAGACTAGCTCTAATACCATTTGTAACAGCTCAAGTCCACCATTAGTATATTATCAGCTTTGGCTTGTTATGTACCATCGGTGACTCGAGACTGGCTCTGATATCATTTGTAACAACCGAAGCCCACCGTTAGTTGATATTGAAAGCTTAGCCCGTTACGTATCACTGTCATCCTCATGATTTTAAAACGCATCTACTATGGAGAGGGTCTAGCCCTACTCCGATCAGTGTCTCGGACTATCTGGAGACTAGCTTTGATACCATTTGTAACAGCTCAAGCCTACCTCTAGTAGATATTTTTCATTTTGGCTTGTTACGCACCATCGGTGACTGGAGACTAGTTTTGATACCATTTGTAACGCCCAAAGTCCACAACTAGTAGACATTATATGCTTTCACTTGTAACGTACCACCGTCTGGCGATTGGAGACTGGCTCTAATACTATTTGTAACGACTCAAGCCCACCGTTAGTAGATATTGACTACTTTGCCCCGTTACGTATCACTATCAGTCTCACGGTTTAAAACACGTCTACTAGTAAAAGATGACCACTACTCCAATTATGAGACAATACATTACGAGACAAAACAGATAATATCTACTAGCGGTGGACACTACTCCAAATAATTAAATTATTTCTAAACGGTTAACGTATAATACGTTTATTTTTAATAAATCATCCCCACATCATTTCAAACATGTTTATAGTTTTTAAAAAATATAAAATTAAACTAAAAAATTATTTATTTATTATTTTAAACAATTTATTTGTGGGACATTTCTACAAATATTAAAAGAAAAAGGGATAGGCTTCCAATAGACGAAAATAGCCTTAATTCTCAAAGAAAGTATAGGGTTATTTTTGTCTTTTAGAAAAGATTCCACCTTTAACCTCTCTTCTTTGTCTTCATCTTATTGTTTTGTAGCGAAGAAATATAGGTTAAAAGATTCCAATTTTTTTCTCTCTCATATCATTTTTCAAACCCTTTTTGTTATTAATATTAATATTTATATATATATTATTTTAAGAGAAACATATAAAAATAAATATAAAATGGTGAGGGTTTTATGTCTCTTGATACTAAGAAGAATACAAAAGAGCTTCATAGATTATGTTTTGTGCTTTATAGACATGTCAAATATTTCATAAAAAAACAACATTAATATGAACATTAATGTCTTTTTCATGTTTTTTTTTTTTTTATAAAAAAAAGTGTAAAGTGAAAGATTGACTACTTAGGCCTAATGTAAATGAGTGAGAAATTGTGAGATCCCACGATCCCATATTGGTTGGGGAGGAGAATGAAACGCCTTTTATAAGAGTGTGAAAACATTTCTCTAGTAGGCGTGTTTTAAAGTCTTGAGGGGAAGCCTGAAAGAGAGCCCAAATAGGACAATATTTGCTCGCGGTGGGCCTTGACCATTACAAATGGTATCAGAGCCAGACACGGGGCGATGTGCCAGTGAGGAGGGTGAGCCCTGAAGGGAGGTAGATAGGAGTCGGTGTACCAACGAGGAGACTGAGCCCTGAAGAGGGGGGGAGGGTAGACACGAGGCGGTATGTCAACGAGAAGGCTGAGCCCTGAAGGGGAGTAGACACGAGGCGGTGTGTCAGGGGCTCCGAAGGGGGTAGACACGAGACGGTGTACCAGCGGGCTGGAGGCTGAGCCCTGAAGGGGAGTAGACAAGAGGCGGTGTGCCAGCAAGAACGTTGGGCTCCGAAGGGGGGTTAATTTGGTGGGGATCCCACATGAATTGGAGAAAGGAACGAGTGTCAGCAAGGACGCAGGATCCCAAAGGGGAGTGGATTGTGAGATCCAAGCCCAAAGAGGTGTCTGCTAGCAGTAGGTATATGCAGCACCCAATGTCTCAGATTTGGACCAGAGTTTGGAATCTGAATAGGGCCTGACATGCTCTAGCAAAATAAGCACGTCGTATACCTGTTAAGAGTGAAGACTATCCTGATAAACCACACATCTTCATTCATATATGGTATCGATTAATTCATGTACCACTCCTTAGATATTATTTGATTTGTTTAAGAATGTTTTTATTTAGAAAAAATCAGTACTTAAAATCTAACCAACGGCTAATTTCTTTTGTCTGCTTCGTTAGGACTATTATATAGTTGTGGGAAGGAAGATATCGATAACTATATATATCAACAAGGTGCACCTTCCTTTTCAGCAGTACAATCATAAAAACTTCATGGTTAAACAAGCTTTGTTTTCCTTAATGAAAAACAAAACATACTGAAAGGACTTGTGTTAGTCTATCGGGATAGTTTACACTCTTAGAAGTGAAGTGTAAGTACGTAACGTGATCATGTCGCAGGAAAATGTCGGAACCATCAGAAGCCCAACTTTCCTTTAAAGTCTTAATGTATCACGAGGAATGAACGTTTTAAGTATAAAGTGTGTAAGTACGTAACGTGATCATGTCGCAGGAAAATGTCGGAACCATCAGAAGCCCGACTTTCCTTTAAAGTCTTAATGTATCACGAGGAATGAACGTTTGAAGTATAAAGTATGCAATTAAATAATTGAGGGAACATTACTATATATATGTTACCTAAATGTGGGACAATTGAGTGGAAAACTTTGGATTTTTTTAGAATAATGTTTTGATTACAATAATAATGATTCTAATCAGCCCATTGATTTTATATTCATGCATTTAATTACATGTCTACACATTATAGGGAAAGATCTTTGCATTTTTTTTTTTTTTTGGAATATTTTCAAAATTTTATGTAAATTTTTTAAAATGTCAATGCATTTGATATTCTAATTATATTCTAATAAATTGCATGTATAATTACAAAATAATAATAATAATAATAATAAATAAATAAAATTGGTTGAGGAGGAGAACAAAACCCCCCTTTATAAGGATGTGAAAACCTTCCTATCGGCTAGCGGTGGGTCTGGGCCATTACAAATGATATCAGAGCCAGACACGAGGCGGTGTGCCAGTAAGGACGTTGGGCCCCAAAGGGGATGGATTTGGCAGGGTCCCACATCGATTGGAGAAAATAACGAGTGCCAATGAGTACGTTGGGCCTCGAAGGGGGTGGATTGTGTGGAAACCTTCTCGTGCGTAGTGTCACGATCATGCTCGTCCAAGGCGTGTTGCCCATGGCCGCATGCCCATGACAAGCCCAACCCTTTATGTCTTTTCATATTCTAGTGTTTTACTTTTATATTTCTAGGAAGTATAACGTTTTAGAAATATCATGTCTAGGCCTGTCAGACATGAAATGCCTCAGAATGTACTATAGGGGGATACGACTAGTTGTCAACTTCTCCCTACCCAAGGTTATATACTGTAAGCCGTTGTTATTTCTCTCTTGCTTGCTTATATAACGTCTCTTTCGAAAATCTCTCTCTGCCCTCACTTTCTAAAACCTTCTCTTAAAATCGAGGCCAGAGGCTCAAGCATACATCGCTTGGTTGTAGGCGATGCAAGAACGAATTGGCTTAGCTCACTTGTCGTTGGAAAGTAAGTGCCGCACAATCGCAAGTCCGCTGCCATTGAAAGTGCGATTGTGACGAGTGGTATTAGAGCTTTGTAAGCTCCGTGAAATAGCAAAGACAGAGAACATGTCGACGACAAAGTCGACACCCAAAGCACAAGCCGACCGACTTACTTTAATAGAGGAGGAAATGTTGTATCTCAAAGGAAATGTTGTATCTCAAAGAAGTCCCTGACACCATCCGCTTCTAGGAAGCACAGGTGAAAGAATTGAGTGAAGAAGTCGTAGAAATTGACGCAATGAGTAACCGCCTGGATGGGTTTCCAATCGCAGAACTGATGTTTCTAGTGACCTCACTCGAAGAAAAGTTTGCTCCTATGAGAAGCCCAAGACCGTCTGGTAGCCCCGATAGCTCTGTCGCACACGAGGGACGTGACGAAGAGTTCGACGTGCTACAAAATACAATGATGAGTTTGTTCAATGGATTAGCTAACGAATTCAGAACAACGATTGATGACATGCAAGAAAAGATGTCCGCCATGAACACCCGAATGGAGGTGACCATGAAAGCCGTGGAGAACGTCTAGGCTGGGCAAACTAATACAGGATCCAACAAACTGAAGTTTCCCGAACCTAGACCTTTCAAAGGGAACTAGGATGCCAAAGAGTTGGAGAACTTCATCTTTGATGTCGAACAGTACTTCAAAGCCACACCGGCTTGTACCGACGACATGAAGGTGACAGTAGCCTCGATGTATCTCATAAACGACGCCAAACTTTGGTGGCGTTTGAAGGTACAAGACATCGAGAATGGATTGTACACCATAGACTTGTGGGAAGACCTCAAGAGAGAGTTGAGGGACCAATTCCTCCCTGAAAACGTAGATCATCTAGCAATGGAAAAACTAATAGCTCTAAAGCAAACTGGAAGCACAAGGGACTATGTCAGACAATTTTCGA